CTGCTAAGATTAGGCTCATCCAGGTGTAGGTGGTTTCTGGTCATTCAAACAATGTGAGTAGTTTCCATATAGCCCGTCTGAAAATCATTTGAGTCTTCCCAACCCAACGAGGATCCTCCTATGGAGACTGTGCTGCTCTTGTAGCCTCAGCCCACCGTATGGTAGCTACCAGGCTTTGACAGAAATTTTACCTTTCTCTTTGGGGTAAATGGATGCCTGAGAGATCTGGAGAGCTCTCAGTGTGAAAACAGGTCACTAGGAAAAGCCCACTGCAGCCAGGGCAACACAAATCACTGCAATGGCAGCAAAGCCATTCCCAGACTTCCTGACTCTCAGCCTCCCATTCACATCTATTTCTGCTCCAGTTTTATAACCTGTGAAGCTGTTCTGATGCAACTGTTTGTGAAGTTAACTCTAAGATGTCTTCCCAAAAATTATTTTTTAAAAAGAATTATTTCCAGGAAGACTTTATTGTTGACCGGAAGTGGACTAGGACAATTTCCCAGCACCGTTGCAGAGCAAACAGGTGCATTGGCAAAACTGAGATGTTAACTACAAGAGGCAGTGATGTGCCTCTTTGGGGCTGGATGAGCTGACCTCCAGAGGTTCCTTACAACCTCAGCTGGTCTGTGATCCTGTGACATGCACTGCTACTGCTGCAGCAGTCATCAAGCTTCATAAGGATTTGCCAGGAACATTTTTAATATTTAAATTTTGTATTTGTCAGAATTAAGGGAGGTTAAAAACTCTGATTAAGGGCCACAGATTAGGGTTTGCTGTGGTCTTGTACTCAAAGAGTAAAAACAGGGGTAGAACCTGTTTAGAGAAGAGTCATGTGGTTACCTGACATTGCGGGTGGGCATGTAGGCACATGAGGAACTCACTAAATCCTGTTTACATCTTACAATTTGTAAATATCCTGACAACAGAGCCCTACACGTTCAGAAGACAGATCTATAAAACCTGGGTATAGCCATCTAACAGGGTATGATCCTCAGGTGCATCAACCAACTATTATGTTGGTTTATGTCAGAAGAGGGCCTGATACTAATTATCTATTCAATAAACTCTTATCAGTCTCTCATAGTTTTTGCCAAGTGCAATTACCCAGATCTTCATATTCAAACTGACTCAAAAAGGTAACAGAACACAGGATACTGGTTCACAGTTAGGGTTCTGAGATTACAGAACTAACTGTAAAATGAACAGAGGAAAAAGCTCAGAATCTGCAAAAAGAAGCAGTGGACTAAATTGTCTTCATTGTCTGCCGGTAGTCTGCCTGCCAGATTTACAAGATATGAAGAAAATGTTAATTGAACATGCATGTCCAAAATAGTTATTGCATATGGATCGCAGATACCATCAAACAGAAAACTGCATATTGCCTAAGCAGCTGCACAGTTTTTGCACATGCAGTTCCATATTTTGGGTACACATGGTAGCCATACTTTACAAACTATTTCAAAAACATTTAAATAACAAATGGAAAATTCCCCATGCACACACGCGCATTTGTGTTAGACAAGAGAACAGTTCTGCTTTGTGATCACAGATAATAAAGTATGGTGCATTACATTTACCATCATTATTCTAACTCACTCGAATGAGTGTTGTATAGTATATATAATACTCAGCAGACAGATAGTTACTCATATCTACATTCGTCACTTAGACATACGTTTTAGAATATTTTGCCAGTTGTCTATAAGAATTCAGCTGAATATCTAGCACTTAACGAGCCACAGTATCATATTTCTGGTATCTTATAAAATGTCATCAGGAGATGTTAGGGTGTTACTTTTCTTTTGTATACTGACTCAGTTTGTCAAGCACCAGCATTTACAACTCTCGCTTGCTTCAGATGTTAGAAATATGACAATGTGTCAGAAAGCTGATAGAAGTATGGGGAAATTATATTTATTCTCTGTTATAAGATTAATTCTGTAAGAAAGGCACCGTGAAAGAAAGACAAATTTTTAAACACAGACAAGCGGAGAGATTTATTGCTCATGGTGACACATAAATCAACCAGTGACTGACTGTGATACACAAGCAGAATGAGACAAGTCCAACGCTCTATTTTCCTCTGCCTTTTACTAGCCATCCTAAATCTATAATTTTTTTTATATGAAATTATCTTACTCTATTTGAATCATTGATTTAAATTTTGAAATCCTTCTGGGGCTAAATTTATCGATGCACAAATCTCCCATTGACTTCAGCAGCAGCCCCACGCATAGGTTGACAACAGCTGTGGACTTCAACCATCATCCTGTTGCAACTTACTAAAGTAAAAGTGGTCTTAGTAAAATGTCTAAGAATCTGATACAGAGCTTTCTATATTTTTAAACTCACTAATAATCAACTTTCTAATATAATGTATTATGATAAAATCAAGTCATCAAAATGACTTGAATTTCTTAAGAAACAAATATTGAACTGGGTGTTTTTATCTATTGCACCTGAGAAAATTATGTTAAGCTTAAGTAGTAAAATGATTAAGATGAGGTAGACTATTTAATGTAGCTAAGGGCTAATTTTGAACTGCATGTTGTAAAAACTTACTTAAATTCTGTGACTACATTTATGTGTATGTTTTATTGTAATTTTGTTATTTTTCTAGAACTAAAAAGAAAGTTAAGCTGCAGATTTTTGTTTACATGATAGCTGATGATCTTCGTTATATTAATTCTTCCATTTATTAAGCAGGTGACAAAGCAGGTTTATGGATTAACATGGTTCCTTGCAGCTGTGGCACCACGCCAGAGCAAGGGCTAAGGCAAGGCTCTCCAGACCAAAACCAGATATTACCCAATGTTCACTGACTTTGGTGTGAAGCCCCTCACTGAGTTACCTGTCTGGGCTTTGAACCACCAGCCAGAAACTTCAGCAGTGCACTCTTTTTGCAAGGTATGAAGAAAATTGTAGTTCCCATAATGTCTGTTCTATCAAAGACAGATATTCTTGATGGAGCTTGCAAAATGGAGCACGCTAATGTTTGCAAAATGATTTATATTGATCATTTAGGGAATATAATATTTTAGCTCATTAACCTTTGCTGTCAGGGATTCTGCAGAGCTATAGCCACCAAGGAGTGCCCTCCCTCTACTTAAGGGACACAAGGAGGTAGTAACTGAAAAGTAATTCCATGCTTTTTACCCCTTGGGGCCTTATTTTCCCAATATGGTCCTGATTTCTGTATTGACAGTGAGAATATGAGCAAGGATAGGTGGTGATATAGCCAGCTATGTCAGCTGTTAAGCTGTTGCTGCACGCATGAAACCTAATTAACTAAGACTATTCAAAATCTGGGCTTGTATTTGCCATTCACCCTTGCAAAAGTAATTGTGTACTTTACAGCTACTGGACAGAAGCTTTCTTGATCAACCCAGCAAAAATGAATTTAGCGTCTGATGTTAACTCACTGTTGTCTTATGGACTTTCATTTGCTGGAGAAAAATGTGTGCAGAGTCAAGGTCAGAATTGGTAGTAAGTCCTTTGCCCGTCAAAGCATAGATATGAAACATTTGAAACCAATAGTTCTTCACCAGTAAATAATTTTAAGAGATTATGAGAACGACACACTTTGTCGATGCAAGTTGGTTTAGAAATTGGTTGTTCCTAAAAATCATCAGAAATGACAGCTGATTAATTATTGCTCTTGATATTCTACAACTTAATTAATAAGAAAACACCTGCAACACTGTCTCATTTCATAGTGTTCTTACTGAATTGAGAGAGAAGTCACTGAAAATTACCCAGACTCTTCATGAGTTACTGGAGGATTGCTTCAGCGTCACGTGTCTACGTGACAGTTATGAAGCCATCTACCAGCTGTAGTTGTATTGCAATGAACTAAATATTATTTACAAAAATTAAGATACTGTGGTGGCGTCTGAGGAAACGTGACAAGTAGGATTATCCTGGTTTTGGAAATTTTACTGGTATTTATGTCTACATTAGCTGCAGGCTGAACTGAATGCACGGTAAATGTTAATAACATTACTACGCCGAGCTACAATCTAGTGCTATAAAGCTCTATACTGAATCCTCCTGAGATCTGCACATTCGCATGTGGATTCAGACTATTGGCTGCCCTTTCATGGTGGGGAGGGGATCTAATATTTTTGCTCCACTTGTTTTGAAAGTGGTGTTTTAAAATCAGCTTTGGGCTCATTTTTCCTTCGAAAAACGTATCTGTAGGAAAAAAGCATGATTAATAACACTTCATAAAAAGATTTTTTATTTTTATCTGACCTTTCCATCCTGTCTACCATCTTCACTTTTCTGAAATTTAATGGGGAGAAAACTAATTGCATTCTGTGAAAGTTACTTAGAAAACTTGGAGAAGACATGGGTGACTCCAGCCTGTAGTGTACTTCAGAACTATTTTTCTCTTCATTCAGTTCTACAGGATTGTTCAAGAAATACTCATCAGAAGAGGCTGAAATCTTTTGCGTGCTGTATGAGTATCTAGGTAAAGATTTTTCTATTAAGTTTTTCCTATTGAGAGATTTTCTATACGGGACTTACTCAAACAACTAGGTTTGGCTGGTTTTGTAGAGCCAGGTTGGCAGCTCCATCAGAGGGACCTTCGCATGCAGCCAGTGAAAAACACAGCACAAATCTCCCCGTGCAGCTTTTTAGAACAACGTTATGATGGCGCTGGTTAGCTCCCACTACTTTCACGAGTCCTCCTTCTGAGGACTAGGTTTTTACCCTGTGTGTACATGTAACTGCTGATGGAAATCAATGGGAGATTTGTATTTGCGAAGCCTGCAGGACCACAGATTAATAGCACTCTTTTAAAAGTCAGAGGCAGGAGGTACAGCCTCCCTTAGGTGTTACATGGGCTACTGGAGGGACACGGGCTGGGCTTCAACCTGTCCGTGACTGCCTCCCGAAACCTTGACAGCTGAGGATAGCTACTAGGGATAGGCCAGTTACTTTTGTTTCCCATATATCATTTTACTTGTCTTGAAGGTCCCAGACCAGGCTCCTCATTCGTTCAGCTGCAGTATATTCCGATTGTGCGATTCGCTCGTGAGGGCAGAGGAGTTGATGGAGCTTCTTTTGAGGATCTTGTTTATGATGTCTTTCCATGTCTTCTTGTACTGATGCCGTAGCAAAGAGTACACAAAAGGGTCTGAAACAACTTTGCTGTAAGCTAAGCACTTGGAAATGATTCCCCAGTGGGAATTGATGTTGACCACAGAGGATAGTTCAACAAGTCTGTGGAAAGAGGAACATTGAAAGAGTGAATATTCATGTTAAAAACATGGAGCAATAACACAACTGTAAGCCTATGACACCCTCAAATCCCCAATTTATTCCTGGGCAATTGCAAGCAAACAAAAGACAAAAACCATACTAATGAAAATGTGCATGGTGTATATATCCTTCTATGTTTCTAAGACTGCAGATGTAAACTTGAGGTCTGTTTCCCAAGGATGGGACTACACAGCTCCCATCAGAGCATCTTGACCTCCAAACTTCAAGGCATCCTTGACTCTGGACATTTAGCTGTACATTTACTGAGGCTGGAAGCAGACCTTGCATGTGTTGCCTCCTAAGAGGCTCTCTTGATTATTTGCCACAATAAATGTTGAAGAATTTAGTGCAAAATGGAACAGCTCCAGCGGGATATGAGGCGGTATGCAAAAAAGTCTATTTATTTGTCATTGGAATATGCCTTTAGGAGACTAAAAACTCAGTCCAAGTCTCTGTTGTAGAGCTGGATTTCAAATGCATTTGGCTTTCTCAGGCCATCAAGATACTTGATAAGTGGACACCTCTCTCTCTAGAGTACTGTAACCTAGTCCTATTTTTTCTCTAGTGAACACTCTGTTCGGGTTTGTAAATACTCTGAGGTAAGCAGGTCAATACTTCACAGAAAGTCTACTGCTCATTAAAAATATCATGCAGCATCTACTCATAAAATAATTTCCTACATAACCTATCCTCAACCATTATACTTTTAGTCTCTGTGCCAAAACTTCTCCTTACGGACAATGTACATTACTTTCTCTGATTACCCTGGGGTTTTCCATCCTAAGGAGGTCTCTTGTTGGAAAGTAAAGTTTCTCACTCGATATTGCAGTTCAGTTTTCTTCTTCATTTAGAGCTTTTGTTGTGTGTATTTTTCCACTAGTGTGTGTCATAACATCATGTTTCTGGCAGCTGAAGTTCATCACAGGATTAATATAACTCTAAAGAGAATGAAAGGAGTATAATCTCCCCAGGTATTTTACCTGTTGACTTTCACACTTATTGTCACCACTGAATCCATCACACCCAGCAAATTTAACCACAAATGTTACCAAAATTTATTTCTTCATAGCCTAATATAATTTTCTAAGTATTGATGCAAAAGCATACTTTGAGCACTGAAGTGTCAAACCGGGACCCAAAGTGTCATTGCTTGGTCTCATGGGAGTCCTATTCCCCTATCATTAGCCATCTAACAATCCAACAGCTAGTCTGACCTCATGGTTGTAGGTCCCCTCTGGAGTGTCTGAGAAACCACCTCACTGATGCTATCAAGCTTTCTTAGCCAGTCCAGTTCCAAGAGAGAGTTCGATGCCTTTAAACTGTTTGTCTGGGTCATAGAAGCAGCACACAAGGAAGGAAAACTCATCATTGAGAGATGGCATAATATATCCTGGATTTTAAAACAGTGCAGTTTAAAGGCCAAACACATCTATTTGCAACAAATTTGTCAAGGCAAAGCTTTTCACTCATTAGGGGAGGGAGGGAGACAGGGAAGAGCTTATATACTCCTCATAACTACACTAGCACAGAGAGTTCACTTTGTACCGAGACAGACTATTTTTGACAGTGAATTATTGATAACTCCACAAGATTTTCTTTCTCCATGTCTCTGAGCAACACTGAAGGGCAGCTCTGTTCAATATGTCTCTGCAGCTGTTGAGAAATTATTGATTTTTCTAGAGGAGGAGCAGTCACGTATGCTGCTGGAGAGCTCAACTATACAATGGGAAATAAGATCTTTGCTGAAACTGTCTTTAGCAGCAGGTACTCTTAAACCTGCCTGGAAAATACTCCAATTGCTAATGTATCTTCAGACAAAGCACCATGTCCAAGGAGCTTTCTGAAGCATGGTTCCTGCAGCAGCAATGACAATAGTGTTGGTACTTCAAGCAGTTTAGAGATGAGGATTTTTTTTTCCTCAGTCATTTTATTCTCATTCCATAAACTTTCACTAGACTGTGTTGTTTAAAATAGTGCTGGCAGATGGCGTGGTCCAGCCATTTGAGCACAAAAATGGGACTAAAGAGCCTTAAGTTGTTACCCCACTGACTATGAACTTCTGTTTCTCTCTCCGTTCTGGCTTGCCTAGACTGCAAACTCCATGGCAAAAGCGCTGTTTCTCCCTAGATACGCCTGCTGGTCTTAGCACCATGGGTCTGCAGCCACTGCTGGGGCTTTAGCCACTGTCACAGCATTGATAATTCTAATCATGAGAATAGCTTTGTGTGCTTTGTGCTAGAAATTCGATCACTTTGTGTATCACTGCCATCAGAAGGGAGGTGCACCTGTACAATGATGCTTTTAGGGGTGATGGTGATAGCCAGAACACTCTTTGGACTCACAGATGTGTGTGACTTTTGAGGTGACCATGCTATGTTACATGAAAACGCTTGGGAATTGCTCTTACATCTCCACTGGTGCTGCTTGGCTCAGCTGATCACTATGGGCAACTTTGAGATATCAAAAAACTGCCATCTGTCCCATTCGTTGCTCCTTTCATCTCAACTAAACAAAGATTTTTCTTTCGACCTCTCCATGTTTGATATCTTTCTCACAAAGTAGCACCGAAACTCAGACATAATCATCATCTCCTCAAACTGCTGGGGGGCTCATCTGGTGTATTCTCTCTTGATTAATAAAATGTAGCTTATGACACCCACGTTAATATGCCCTAAAATGGGAGTTGACTATTTGGAAATTAGTCATCTACTGAGTCATATTTACTTTGTGATCTACCATGAGCCATCCTTCTTGTTATTCTCCACTTCATATATTTGATGCCTGCTTTGCATTTTGAATTTCATCATGTTGAATTTCATCTGGTTGATTTACTTTTACTGAACGCTTTACAGATGTGAATCTGATTACATTTAATTAAATTCAGTGGATGCCTTGAATGACCAAAATATGACAAATTTGTGTCTGAGTGTCAATCAGTTCTGCAAGATGTTCACAATCTCCATTTAACGCGTGTCAAATAGACACGTCAGGGTTGCAAGCCTAGACTTGCTAATTTTACCTTCATTGACTGATCAACTAAAAAGCCTACACTTTTACCAGCAGATTTTTAAATACTTTCTTTGATTGTGTTCCTTAAGTGTTCTTGATATTTACACGTTTTGCAATTCTTGTCTATTATTTTTATACTAAATTACATTTGCAGGTATCGAGCAGCAAACACAGAAATGCAGACAAACCCTAACCTATGCAATTCTATTTCATGTACAAACAATTAGATGTCAGTCTTTCAAGGCATATCACATACTTTATTGCCTTTGAAAGAGGGGTTTGTTTCTCATTTATGAGGGGAATTTTAAGGATAACTTCAATTTTCATGAAATGTTTCAGGCAAAAAAAGAAGACTTTTTTGGTGAAGGAGCATTAATATTTCAGTATTACCTGTAAATTAAATTCCACAGTGTCAGCTAAATAATTGCCTATCTTGCTTTCATAAGCCACTCTTCTACTCTCTGGTCTTCAATAACTTTTTGTTTCAAAGCTAAAAGCTGTTCTGCTGTGATACCTTGTTAATATTTTAGAAACTTCTAATTCTGTAGAGTGTGTCATGTCATGTGGCTGTCCAACTGTTTTATTTCACTTTCAGTGAACAAATGAGAATGCTGTGTTGAAGATTAAGACCTTGATCTCTTCTGCAGATAACACACATTGAAAAGCCTTTATATGCATGTGCAGTTAATCACTACAATATAATACCTTACTGAACATGTATACATCCAGCTGGGAGGCTTCGACCACGGCAACATATCTGTTGTGCATTGCTGAAACCCAAGAACTTAATGGAGTAGTGGAGAAAAATCTGAATAGACCGGAGTCTCAAACAAGTTAAAAAGTCTTCTTGTTCAGGAATGAAACAAAGCTGTCACTGCATTTTGGAACTGGTAGATGATGAAGGTCTCACAAGAAGAAATTCAGCCTTTTCCCCAGGAATTTGGATCATCTTTTTAAGCTTGCATTCCTAACATTTCGCTTTATGTCTAGTTGTGACTTTTCTTTTTCCTGCACAAGTCCTGTAGTATCAGAATTAGATCCAAATTGTTTCTTGTGTGTTAATGATATGAATAAGCTGACCGTGAGTTTTATGTTGATTTTTTTTTTTTTTTTTCACTTTATTGCTTGGTAGACTGAATCTTTTGTGTGCTGCCTTGCTAGTGAAAAAGCCCTATTTTAGTCGTTGCTTCTTGATACAGAAATGACATTGCAGAGATTGTTATCTGATCTACCATTAGCCAGTTTTTCCTCTTAACTGGTGCATATAATACAACCAGCCAGGTTCTGTAAGGAAGCAGGATTGCTTTTGGACCTGTTGTAGGTAATCTTGCAAATCTATTGTAGTGAATCTTGCAATGCATCTCTTTTAGCCATTGCTGTTCCCCAGGGCTGCAGGAACCACCTGTCAGCACAGAGATGTGAGCACAGCAAGGCGTCACAGAGCTAGGAGAACAGCGAGCAGCACTGTCCAGCTTGTACCAAAAGGTTTTTCTATCCAGGAGGAAAATATCTCCACCTCACGTCAGCTGAGGTTTTTGACAAAGACTAGAAGGCCACTTTCTTCGATTACGTCAACCTAAGGTTGCACAGGAAAATCATGCATTTGTATTCACAGACAGGCAAAAACATAACTTCCAGAGGAATTCTGAACTTGCTCGTCTGCTGCGCAGGATCCTCATGCAGAGGGTCAGCAACCAGCTGAAAACCATGGTTTGTTTACCCCCTGTCCCCCAGAGAGGATACAATTGAATTTTAATGCTACTTCTGCCTGTTCCACCACCCTCCTCTGTAACCCGAGGGCTTGGGGCTATGAGCTTCTTTCTGATATTACTTTGAGATTTTTAATTTAAGGCCAATTTCCTCATGCATTGACAGCACTTATTAACTTACATGAGCAAAGTTCTGTATTTCAGTATGAAATGCACAGAGTTGGAAATTAATATCAGAAATTGGTATGACTTATTTTAATTTTTCTTATGAAAAATATGCTTGGAGAAAATAGGTTTTGAACAATGTTATTTAATTGCATAACAATAAATATAGCAAAAGAAGAGATATGTATTAATAGAATTTTTACAAACCAAGAAACAAGCTATGCCTGGAAATAAATAATACAGGGTAATACATCTGTCATACTGGTACAGTGGAAACAAATCAAGAAGAATCAGATTCTACTGACATAACACATAAGGTCAGCTACTGAACTAATTAGAAAGGTGTTTTTTTTATAGAAGAGGTGCCTAATCTGATTTTTAGCTTAATGTAATATGAAAATCTGTGGTTTACCCAGAGGAGGGTTTGTCTGGCTGGGGTTATAAGCACGATTCCTTCATTGGTTCGTGCGATTGCTAGAGACAACTATTTGTTTTTAGTGTGGAAGCAGAAAGACATTGTAGTAAAGCCTTGTGATTTGCCCTTTTCAGGCCTCAATTCATCAAGTACTTAAAATCATGTTTAATTTAAGCATCTTGCTGATTGGACCTGGCTGTCCAAATGAGAGGCAGAGCCATAGACTTCATCAGCTATTCTCTGTTCACTGCCTTGAAAAGTGATTGATTGCCTGTATCTTGTGAATGCAAAACACTGGACATAGTCCAGAAAATAATGCTTGCTTACATAATTAAGCTCCTAATCCCCTTGATTTCAACATCCTCAGCCATATGTGTGTGGCAGAGGGAAGCACAGTAATGCACACCTTCTAATGCCCATCCATGCGGTGCAGAGGCCAGCAAGGTCTCGAGGGGGATTCCAGCAGCTGAAGTGGGAATTGCCCGCAGCCCGTTGTGCAGCGATCCCCCTAGACGTGTCAGAACTGAAATGGCCAGGAAAGGAATAGCCTTTACCCCACCTGGCAATCCTGGCTAGTGCCCAACCCTTCAAGCATTCTTCATGTGTTCAAGATACTACTTTTTGACTCTTCTCACAGTCGCTCTCTGTGGCAAAGCTATTAGTCCTCAACAGACTGAAGACTCAGCGGAACATTTAAGTGATCCTTGTACGGACTACTTGACTCTTCTCACAGTCGTTCTCTGTGGCAAAGCTATTACTCCTCAACAGACTGAAGACTCAGTGGAACATTTAAGTGATCCTTGTACGGACTAAAGGGAGGAGGAACAGGATTTTTCGAACCCCTCTGCTGTATCTTAAGGCTCCTGGGACACGTATCAGGACTCCACAGAGTTAAGAGGTGGGGAAGTGGTGCCTGAATGCTGGGCTGAGATGCCTGCAGAGGAGCACAAAAATACTTCTGACAGTCCTGGTTAGAGCAGTCGGCATCACCCAGGACAGAGCCGCCAGCGATTCTGTGACTGCAACAATTTTCATTAAGTTCAGAGACACAACATAATTTAACCATTTGTAACGAGACAAATAGTCAAATATAGCCTGAGAACTATGGCTGAATGCTGATAATTATAAATCCTTTCCTACCCTCTTAGAGTGTGTGGCATGGAGTGTCTTCTTGTGACTACCAACTGAAAGTGAAGGTAAATATAGTAACACTGTTACAAAGGTATTTGCAACATTGTTACAAACAAGCAACAGGAGCCAATTGACTATAATCCTGAACAGAAAATCGATGTGACATGCAGGTTTCCTTTTTTACCAAGAGACTACAAGACCTTCTCGTGAATTGTTTTGTTAGAAATAGAAATTCAGGATATTGTACTGAACTGGAAAAACTTGGGGGGTGGCCACATGCCCACTTACGCTGAGTCTTAATTCAGCTGTTTCAGTGACTTTTTTATGATGGATCTGAGTGTGACTGAAGCCGGTCCCCAGTAATGTCTATTGAAGTGTATTGGAATAGGTGAGACTTTTAAAATATTTTTTTCTTTCTCTGTTCTGCTTAGCAACATTTCAGTTTTTCCAGAGTCTTTTAATAAGGAATGCAGGTTGTAAATTTCCTTCAACAACTAGATAACACTTCTGGATATACTCACTTTCCAATACTTTATGTTTTATAGGAGTAATTTTATGTTTCCCACAGGAGCCATTTCCAAAGATAAGGCAGTAGATAGATAAGGACCTCTGACCACAAATCACAAGATTTTTTTAGGTATGAGCCAGAATGGCTTTGGTATTTGATGTTTATGACTAATCAAGTCTATCCAGTCAGACAAAATTATATTTGTGAACCATGTTCTCACCTCAGTTGGATCTTGTTCGACCAGATTTTTATAGTCTGACTTACTCGAACAACCGTCTTCCCCTGCAGATCAGCCCCTGAACCAGGGAGGCAATCTGAGGTGTAGGTGACTACTTGACCTGAAAAAAGTCTGCAAAATCCCATGGACTGACTTCCTAAACCACTCCTATGAGACCAACGTATCGACCGGGCTGACTGAACAGACTATGGCCCACAGTCTGCATCAGGATTGTATCAAATAAGTGCTGTGACATTTTATACGGTTTTGTTAGCTCAGTAAATGTAATGTCTGTCATAGGAGTTGAAACGCTGCAGAAAATTTTCACAGGAGACTTGAGCCATTTTCTGGTTCAGCGTGCCCTACTTCTCTGAGCTAAGAGTGCTTCTCAGTAGTCTTTTCCAGTGTGTAGATTCACACTTACCTTGTAATTACATAAGGTGCAAAACAAAGTATAAAAGTACCAATAAAGGTACTTATTTTCTTTGTTGCTCGCTGCCTCCGTCTCTTCTGTTCTTCTAGACAACGCTCTCTCACGCTGTGTGACATTCAACACAAACAAGAACATGAATCAGAATATCAGGTAGTAGATTTTAATGGCTTTACCTATGATGAAAATCAGTCTTTCCAGTAAGAGTTGTAGTCACACAAGCCAATACCAGGTCCACTGCATTTATATGGGACAATACCAAGTATTAATGCATTGTATGATCATCTTACCCTCCAAAACCAATTACTGAGAAATATTTATATGCACACACCGCAATTATATTGATTTATATATGGTGATATTGGTGGATTTCAGCCTTGAATTCAGTTACAGCTCCTTTTTGAATTACTGTATTTGCAGGCCAGGGTTTGCCTCATGATATTGAGAGTTTTGGAAAATATCCAGAGGGGGGTAGGCAGCATGCTACTTCCCTAGAAACAGCAATTCCAACACCACTATCTTAAACAGGAAAAACTTCCCAGCAAGATAAGCAATAAAACACAGTAACATCACGACAGGGAAAAACCTGCTCTAAACATCCAGCCCAACGTTGGAGCAATCACTGTATCCCATAGCTGTGCAACGTGGGGCCATCAATCTTTCAGCAGCCTGCGCAGCTCTGCACAGCCACCGTGCTGAATGCTCTGCAAAGCTGGGAATTATACAAATATACAAATATACAAACCCACAGTGTGGTGACGGTCTGACCCCCCGCCTCAAACCAGCCTTGTTCCTGACTAAACAGATACAAATTAGTCACACTCTGGGCCTTTTCCTACCTGTGGTATTTTAGGGCAAGAGCTTCTCCTTTGGGTTTCCTGGTGGTGGTCTCACGAGGCCACCAGAGAGCTCCGGAGACTCTTGATGTGCCAGCAAGGTGATGGGAGCACAGGGCTGAGACCATCCTTCCACTGCAGGAAAACCCCTTTGAAATCAGCACATTTGTTTGCTAAGAGAGTGATAATATGAAAACCCATCCTCATTCTCCAGGGAGATTTTATAGCAGTCTTTCAGTACCTAAAGGGGGCTTATAAGAAAGATGGGTACAAACTTTTTAGCAGGGCCTGTTGCGCTAGGACAAGGGCTAGTGGTTTTAAACTAAAAGAGGGTAGATTTAGACTGGATACAAGGAAGACATTTTTTACATTGAGGGTGGTGAAACCCTGGCACAGGCTGCCCAGTGAGGTGGTCGATGCCCCATCCCTGGGAACTTTCAAGGTCAAGTTGGAAGGGGCTTTGAGCAACCTGGTTGATGTCCCTGCTCATTGCAGGGGGGGGTGGCTAGATGGCCTTTAAGGTCTCTTCCAACCCAAACTATTATGTGATTCTATGATTCTATACCCGCTTGTGTAACTTGTGTGCTGGCTGTGCATTTTGAGGGAAGTGGGTGAGTTACTGTCTTCTCCAAGGAGGTAGGTTCGATGGGCAGCACTACTTGCCTCTCCTGGAGCCCCAGGGCCATCTGCACCTGATCTAGTCCCTTTGGGAAAGAGCAAAACCAAAGCCAGAGTGTACTCCTGAAATCCCTCTCTACGGACATAGCAGCACTGCTACGTGATGAGTCGTTGCACAGGTCTCATGGTAAAGCAATCTCATGGTTTGGGCAAACAGAATGGTCTGGACCATGTGCTGCATTTTTTAAATGCTCAGAATTGGTATCCCTCTGTTTTTCTCATAAATTTGTAATTGATGACTCCCTGTCAGGTTCCACACTCACATATGTTAATACCTGCAAGGTTTCTGGCCATACCCTTAAATTTTTTGCTGTACCTGCAAATGTTTGATCATCTTCTAAATACATGCTGTGGCCTGAGGATGTCAGTGTGCTTTGGTGATCTCTGTGGCAGTGACTTCTTGCATCACCTTTTGGTTGTGTTAAAGAAAATGTGTTTCCTTTGATCAGTTTTATATATGGTCTTGCACTGCCAGTCCCTAGAGCAGTCACCATGATGGCAAAATGAACAAAATACAGGAGGAAAAGGTTTTCTGCTTGAAACAACAAATCACCTGTCTCGTAAAGCATATGCCTAAGTAGAATGAAAACACATCTAAGTGTTAAATGTTCTATGTCTGAGTTATTTGCAGTGAGAAATGACAGCTGAGAAGGAAAAAAACCCTCACCTTTTCAACGGGACCTATGACGTGCTTGCAGTTCTGTGGGAGCTGGAGAACTTGGAGTATTTTTAGGTGCAGACTGATGATCTTAGAGGTTCGACAGCTTCGCTTAAGACCTGTCTTATCACATTCATAGTATCCCAGGCACATGGCATTATAAGAAAGGAAACCTCCAAAGTAGGTTCAGTTAGGGTGTTGTTAGGGTGTAGAGAATGGTGTATTTTTTGTCTCTAACAGTTTCCCCAGTTATATTTTTTCCCTACTGGCATATACAAAGCTATCTGACTCCTGGAGCTCACACATGACCTGGGAAGTCCTGACAGACTTCAACCAATTTCTTTTTTTCTGCCTTTCCAGATGTGGCTAATAAATACCACATCACAGAGGAAGGTATTTTATCTCGTACCTTCATATGGACAATGTACACAGAGGGTATTTTGCTTTTGCACATAGTCTAAAGCACTAAGATAAGAAGATATGTGCAAGTTCCAGTAGTGACACTAGTAATAGAACTGGATTATTGACTAAACTTTCATTTAAGGATTATAACATCCCGGAAAATGTGAGATATATCCTTTTGAAGGTTTGGTATTTTAGACAAAGTTTATGAGATACTGGACCTTAAGATCTGTAAAGCTGAATACGCCAAAAAGATAGTAGAGATAATTTGGGTGAAGAAATACATGGGTTAAGCACTGAAGTGAAGTCTTGCTCAAACATTTCCTAATACCTAAGATATCTTGGTCTTAAGAACAAAGTCAAGGAAAAACAGTATCCAACAAAAAGACATAAGCTAACCTAAAAGGACGTGTGCCCCAAACAGTCACAAGATTTTGTGTGATATTTAGAGGTTTCCTTTGTACTCTTCTGGAATGATCTTCAGAAGATCACTCGTGTCTTTCCAAGTCACAGGTAATAAAGCCATCTGTCATAACGCCTCTCGCTAGACCCCCTTGCGGGTGGATTCTGAGTCATAGGAAGCAGAAAATTGTCCGTGCACATTTCTCAGTGTTGAAACAAGACCGAAAAAAAACCCAGAGAAGTCAGAGTAGTCTAAAGTGGGATTACAAACTTGGTTCTCTCATGTGCCTTCTCCCAGCATCCATGTCTATGCTGTCAGGTACTACAGTAAACACTGAAATTGCCTGGCATGTGTCTATATATATATATAATTCAAATGATGCTTTTGTTATGTCAGAGCTTTCTGAACATCACTGACTGCTCCAGGAGACCTGCAGCCTTTGCGTAGCTCTCAGAGTAGGGGAGGCAATCCGAGGTCTGACCCTTTCCGCTGCAGTAGCTGTCACCAGGTAAGGCAGCAGCACCACAGGCCAAATCAGCCACCATTTCTGGTGGCTAAACCTCTCCATTCTTCAGGATAGGTATTAGAATAATCTGATGCAAGAGATATTGGTCAGTAATATAAGTTACTTGCAGCAAAGTGCCTGTATGGATCTGTCTTCCTCTGAAGAAAGAAGGTAACATTCCCACAACCCCATTGAACCCACCCCTCAGTGAGACAATTACCAAATGCAGGAACACCCTCAAATTAACCTAGACCAGAAAAAATGCGGGGAGAGGAGAAATACTGTTCAGATTATTGCCCTTTTTCTAAACTTTGCTGTGCAGTCCAGGCATACTTGAAGCGTTAGGCATCACGATTGCTATTTGATAGAGCCCCAGCAGGTCAGTAGCACTGCCCTGGTAGTAACCACCACATCTCATAGTGCGTGCAGGAACTAAGGCGAGTTGAGGCAACCCCCACATCTCAGAGGGCGTGCAGGAACTAAGGCGAGTTGAGGCACAGTTTAGCAACCAGACAGCACGTAGGGCAGGAGGGTGTTTTTTCCTCTGTGTGACTTGGGGAATAAGGGAAGATTTATACATGTGTTTCTCAAGAACAGTAACGGGACTTGCCTGAAGTTCCGCTCCACATTCTTGGTCAAGAGACAGATCAAGCAGCTTAACTGGAGAATTTTGAGCAAATGTTTCTGTTCCTCTAACAGTGTGCCATCCTGCCCTGATCCTTTCAGACTTCTTTGCCTTAGGCTTAGGAATACCCAAGATATGACCTTTTTTTGAGGACAGCCACTTGTGGTTTCAGTCTTGCAGCTCTGCTCTAGGCTGGCTGCAGTGGAAGGAGCTGGTGTTTGCCTCTGAAACAACAAATCACCTGTCTCGTAAAGCATATGCCTAAGTAGAATGAAAACACATCTAAGTGTTAAATGTTCTATGTCTGAGTTATTTGCAGTGAGAAATGACAGCTGAGAAGGAAAAAAACCCTCACCTTTTCAACGGGACCTATGACGTGCTTGCAGTTCTGTGGGAGCTGGAGAACTTGGAGTATTTTTAGGTGCAGACAGATGATCTTAGAGGTTCGACAGCTTCACTTAAGACCTGTCTTATCACATTCATAGTATCCCAGGCACATGGCATTATAAGAAAGGAAACCTCCAAAGTAGGTTCAGTTAGGGTGTTGTTAGGGTGTAGAGAATGGTGTATTTTTTGTCTCTAACAGTTTCCCCAGTTATATTTTTTCCCTACTGGCATATACAAAGCTATCTGACTCCTGGAGCTCACACATGACCTGGGAAGTCCTGACAGACTTCAACCAATTTCTTTTTTTCTGCCTTTCCAGATGTGGCTAATAAATACCACATCACAGAGGAAGGTATTTTATCTCGTACCTTCATATGGACAATGTACACAGAGGGTATTTTGCTTTTGCACATAGTCTAAAGCACTAAGATAAGAAGATATGTGCAAGTTCCAGTAGTGACACTAGTAATAGAACTGGATTATTGACTAAACTTTCATTTAAGGATTTTAATATCCTGGAAAATCTGAAATATATCCCTTTGAAGGTTTGGTATTTTAGACAAAGTTTATGAGATACTGGACCTTAAGATCTGTAAAGCTGAATACGCCAAAAAGATAGTAGAGATAATTTGGGTGAAGAAATACATGGGTTAAGCACTTAAGTGAAGTCTTGCTCAAACATTTCCTAATACCTAAGATATCTTGGTCTTAAGAACAAAGTCAAGGAAAAACAGTATCCAACAAAAAGACATAAGCTAACCTAAAAGGACGTGTGCCCCAAACATTCACAAGAATTTGTGTGGTATTTAGAGGTTTCCTTTGTACTCTTCTGGAATGATCTTCAGAAGATCACTCGTGTCTTTCCAAGTCACAGGTAATAAAGCCATCTGTCATAACGCCTCTCGCTAGACCCCCTTGCGGGTGGATTCTGAGTCATAGGAAGCAGAAAATTGTCCATGCACATTTCTCAGTGTTGAAACAAGACCGAAAAAAACCCCAGAGAAGTCAGAGTAGTCTAAAGTGGGATTACAAACTTGGTTCTCTCATGTGCCTTCTCCCAGCATCCATGTCTATGCTGTCAGGTACTACAGTAAACACTGAAATTGCCTGGCATGTGTCTCTATATGTATAATTCAAATGATGCTTTTGTTATGTCAGAGCTTTCTGAACATCACTGACTGCTCCAGGAGACCCGCAGCCTTTGCGTAGCTCTCAGAGTAGGGGAGGCAATCCGAGGTCTGACCCTTTCCGCTGCAGTAGCTGTCACCAGGTAAGGCAGCAGCACCACAGGCCAAATCAGCCACCATTTCTGGTGGCTAAACCTCTCCATTCTTCAGGATAGGTATTAGAATAATCTGATGCAAGAGATATTGGTCAGTAATATAAGTTACTTGCAGCAAAGTGCCTGTATGGATCTGTCTTCCTCTGAAGAAAGAAGGTAACATTCCCACAACCCCATTGAACCCACCCCTCAGTGAGACAATTACCAAATGCAGGAACACCCTCAAATTAACCTAGACCAGAAAAAATGCGGGGAGAGGAGAAATACTGTTCAGATTATTGCCCTTTTTCTAAACTTTGCTGTGCAGTCCAGGCATACTTGAAGCGTTAGGCATCACGATTGCTATTTGATAGAGCCCCAGCAGGTCAGTAGCACTGCCCTGGGAGTAACCACCACATCTCATAGTGCGTGCAGGAACTAAGGCGAGTTGAGGCACAGTTTAGCAACCAGACAGCACGTAGGGCAGGAGGGTGTTTTTTCCTCTGTGTGACTTGGGGAATAAGGGAAGATTTATACATGTGTTTCTCAAGAACAGTAACGGGACTTGCCTGAAGTTCCGCTCCACATTCTTGGTCAAGAGACAGATCAAGCAGCTTAACTGGAGAATTTTGAGCAAATGTTTCTGTTCCTCTAACAGTGTGCCATCCTGCCCTGATCCTTTCAGACTTCTTTGCCTTAGGCTTAGGAATACCCAAGATATGACCTTTTTTTGAGGACAGCCACTTGTGGTTTCAGTCTTGCAGCTCTGCTCTAGGCTGGCTGCAGTGGAAGGAGCTGGTGTTTGCCTCCAGCTTACCGAGCAAAGGACAGCAAGGAGGGTTAAGTGGGATGTCTGACATGGGACTGCCCTCTTCTACTGCTCTCGGCTTTCCTCTCTTCCAGGCAGACTTCCTCCCCATATCAGACACCTCCCTGCGCTGCCAGCTGCCAGCATTTTTCTGAAAGACATTTCCCTTCAGGCTCTGACAGAGAATGTCTGAGCCTTAAAATCCAGTTTCTGACTGTCTCCCAAGCAGCTCACACGTCTGTCGCAGCCACTCTGTCACCCTATCTAGCCAAAGCATTTTCTCCCTTTTTTCCAGGCAAATACATCAGATTCCTCCCTTTCCAGTCACCCACTCCAGCCACACTAAACCCTAAGCCAGACTAGTTCCTCTGAGCAAACCAGGCTGATTTCTTCCCACACTGTAACCAGTGCCTTCCTTTTTCCCCTTTATGGAGCTCACTCGTTGACTCTGCCACCCCATCCCAGTCCTAACTGGCTCTTCGCCCCATCCACCCCAGCTCATCAGAGCCTCTCAGCCTTCAGCCAGGACTCATCAACCCCTCAGACACCCTGTCCCTCTCCATCCTGCCTCAGCTGTGCAGGTTCATTTCTCAAATCCCCGTTTCTCCAGCAGATCACTCTGGCGTGTCCTGCTGCTCCCTTCTCACCAGCCTGGTCCCACGTCCTTCCAGCTGTGCCTGCTGTGGTCCTCTCCGTCTCCTCCTCTCCGCTTCTCGTGGCCAGAGCCACCACAGACTCCCAGCACACACTGATTTCCCCTCCCCGTGCACCGGGCACCTTCCCCAGCTCCTTGCCAGGATCGCTGCCTGCCCAGGATCACCCTTGGGCTTCTCTCCAGCAAGGCTTTCTCTCCTTCAGCTTCACTGCTATGCTCTACTTACCAACCCAGGGAAAAAAGTCTCTCCCACTCTCCCTCCTCCAGCTAAATCTGCATCCCTTCCAGATCCAGACTTAGCCTATTCACACAAGATTTATAGTTTGTGCATAATCCCTGACATGACTCTTTTTGCACAGCATCCCAGCACACATTCAGACCCGTTCGGCGTTTGCTTTCAAGCCCATTACCCTCCCAGCCCCCAGAGACTTTTCTCCTTCTGTGTCTAGATGTAAGGGGCTTGCTTAAAGACTCTCATTTAAAATGAATTTATACATCTCTTGCTTGTCATATTAACATATAGCTACAGAAGTCTCTCTCACTTGGATTTAAGTATAGGCATTCAAGTGTCTGCATTTTGCAGATGTTATTCCCTTACAATTCTGCCTTCAGGAAAGAGAAAGTTACAGAGAGCACAGCAATAGGAAGACCACCGGGTGAAGGAGCAGCACGCTGCACCCAGCTTCCCTCATGAACTCGGGGACATGTGCAGCCTCAGCCTGCTCCCTCTCAGGGATCCAGCAACGTTTTGGGCTGACAGTGGCAAAAAATGCAAGTCTGTGGACCACTAAGTCCACCTTTGGAAACAAAGAGCAGTGATCTGATCACTATCTCGCAGGGAAGTGCATGCTCAGCCAAAACTGCCTGTTTCTTTGCTCTCCCTCCCAACACAAGCCCGTCAGCATAACAAAGAGTAAAAAGAAAAAAATAAGCACAAGTAAAAAGAACCATGCAGAATAAAAACTGGCAAGAAGGATTCTTGTTTTCTCCCCCTCCCCTCCCCTGCTGTGACACAGAACAGACCGTATTTAACATAACACTGAACCCCGTCCTCTCTTCCTCTGCGGTGAATATTCTCGCTGGCTGAACGCACAGGCACCTTACCTGGGGTGGATGTCCACAAGCAGCACCAGGGTCTGCATAGTGATCACGTCAATCCGCTTACAGTGAAACCGTGCCACCTTCAGCACTTTTAGATATGTGAAACACAGGACTATAAGGGAGAGGAGGAAGCTGAGGGTGTGAAAGACCCCAGTGAAAATCACAAACTGTGTCCTATCCTCTGGTCTCTTGTTGTACAGGGTGCAGGAGGCATAGAGGTGATGGAAACCCACCCAGGAGAGAGAAGCTGCCACTATCGGGAACGACACCGAGTGTAACCACGTGTAGCTCAGTATGAGAGCAGCATCTCTGTACCTCATTTTGGAGTGATAACTTAGAGGGAAGACCACAGCAATCCACCTGTCAATGCTCAAAGCTGCCATGCTCAACATGGAGTTCGTGGTGAGAAAAGTCTCCAGGAAGCCCACAATGTGGCAGATCTGATCTCCTCCTGGTTGACTCTTGTAAATGATCCCAGCCAAGGTCAGGGGCATGTTCGAAACAGTCATCAACAAGTTGCAGAAGGTGAGGTTGAGGATGAACAATCCCGGGACCTGCTTGCGGATGTCGGCGCTGTACAGGAAGCACAGCAGCACCAGCACGTTGGCCAGCAGGGCCACGAGCATCAGCACCACCACCACGAAAGCCAGGATCACCTCCCAGATGCTCATGGTGCGTCCAGTCACAGGAGGGACATCTCCGAAACTGCGCCGCGCCGGCACCCGGGGAACATGGTGCGAGGCGCGCTCACCTCGCCCTCCTCCCCAGCCTGCTCGCACTCTTGCATGCCCTCCGTATTTTTAGAAGAGCTGCAGTTTTTTTCTCCAACCTCCCCCTCCTCGCTGCTCCTTTCCACGTCAACGCTTTCCGAGACGTGCACAAAAGCACTGGGAATGCCCATCAAACTGCGAGGAGGGCTTAAAAAATATCAGCAGGACTGAACCACTGTCTCCATTCGGTCCTTTCGAAGGAGAGCAGGTTATTCTGAGAAACTGCTCTCCCGAGATCCCTAATTATCAGCCCAAAGCTTGCAAGCAATTCACGGAATGAATTGTGCTCTCTTTCTCTCTTGCTTTCTCTCTCTCTCTCTCTCTCTCTCTCTCTCGCTCTCTCTTGCTCTTTCTCTCCCCTCCCCTCTCCTCCAACCCTCACTCCCTTCCAGGCTGAATGTAACCTGCTTTTTATGATCACAGATAAAAACCCCATTAATGGATTAAAGCATGCACACTGCTGGTGATTCGCAAACGTGATTATGTCATCCCCACTCCACAACCCCTCCCCTTCTCCTTGCGGTTGTGACTAGGCTTTCCTCAAGAGAAATCCCATGCTTTCATTTAATTGATTTAGCCATTAATTTGCAAACAGTCATGTAACAGAATTCCTGCACTCCCCTGTGTTTCCTGCATTTTGGTGCACCACTTCCACTGTTGCTGCTTGGTCTCAGCCAGGGCAGGGGCTTTCATTTCTCTTTATTAGCTGTGCTCAAAAAGATGGGGAAAAATGCACGTATTCTGCTACTTCTCTGGAGCTGTCATTAAGCTACCGGAATGGTTTTACTGCTCTAGTTCAGCACTTTGCAGTCCTGTGTCTCTAAGCACCATGAGTAGGAGGAAAATGACTGCTTCCCCTCCTCCTTTAAAAGCAGGGAAACTGAAGCCCCAAATGCCTCTGTAACATGCTCAAGGTCACAAAGCAAGTGAGTGGCAGAGACAGAAACGCACTGCCAGTCTCGCTATTCAGTCCGTCTTTCTCTCCTCTAACAGCCTTTGCTTCTTCCTAATCAAAGCCTCCCTCCCTGGGAGGGTGAGCACCCTCTGAGATCAAAACCAAGAAGCAGTTTGGCAAAGGAAACGGGACTGAGTCTGTATTGCGCAGAATTAGGTGTTAAAATGAAGTTTGTTTTAAAGGACAGAGTGGGAACTGTTTTCTGATTGCCTTTCCTGTCTCTTTAACACAGTTCTAGCTGGGAATGCTGAGCGTTTGTCAGGACACCTTCCTCATCAAGGCAGCCAAGCCTTCATCCCTGCACAAGGAGCAGGCAAAAGCTACCCTGCAGCACAGTTATTGTGGCTTAGTGAGTGCCTCTGCACGTGTGCGAGAGCGAGATGCTCGGGCGGATTTTTCCTCCGTGCCCACAGCCCTCGCCAGCGCCGTGCACGCTCGGTGCACAGCAGCCGTTCGTCGCAGACACTCGGGCTCATCTGCTCAGTGTCAGAGCTGTGCATGCTGTAGGAAGACCCCTTCTCTCCTGCTTTTGTTTTCTCAGACCAGGCTTTACAGGGCTAACAGCAATGGGATTCACTTTGTAAGTCAGCCAACTGCCATCAAAGATGGCTGGGACTCTCGGGGGCTGTTCAGCTGGGCACCCAGGTCCCCCACGCACACTCCACAGAGCACAAGAGGTGCAGAGCCCAGGTCTGAGGAGCGGTGCAGAGCCCAGGTCTGCCTGTGAGCTCAGTCAGCTCCCTGCCTCCAGAGCACAGGTACATGTCTTCACGCTGTGTGAATGCGGGGCAGGACTTCAGTGTCTGGTCTTTTCCTGAGGCAGTGATCCAAAGCCACGTGAGAAAACCCTAAAGGCGATCTCTTCTCTAAACAAGAGGGGCCTTTACCCTCTTAGGAGAGGTAGGCTAAGGAGATGAGAAAGAAGATGCAGATCTTGCTGCTGCTGCACAGCACCAGAACCTCGTCAGTTTTCTTTCTTGGGTGGGAAACAAAAGCCCTGGCTGAGAAAGGTGTCCTAGCACCAATGTCCTGAGGTGGGTGTCCATTTTGGAGTAACTGCCATGACACCAGCTTAAAGCTTAGCAAGCAAAGACAGCTGCAGGCCCCCGGGAAGAAGCCGTGTGACTTGGAGGGGCACTAAGAAGAAAAACTGGGAAGTTTCTAATGACACAGCAGTACTTTCTGGGACAAAACAGGGAAAAAGGAAGGGGAGAAACGACCCAATGCACCAGTACAGACTTGGGGCAGACCTGCTGAAGAGCAGCTCTGCGGAGAGGGACCTGGGTGTGCTGGGGGATGACAAGATGACCATGAGCCAGCAATGTGCCCTGGTTGCCAAGAAAGCCAATGGCATCCTGGGGTGCATCAAGAAGAGTGTGGCCAGCAGGACGAGGGAGGTTCTCCTTCCCCTCTACTCTGCCCTGGTGAGGCCCCATTGGGAGTACTGTGTCCAATTCTGGGCTCCCCAGTTCAAGAAAGATGAGGAGCTACTGGAGAGAGTCCAGTGGAGGGCTACGAGGATCGTGAGGGGACTGGAGCATCTCTCCTATGAGGAAAGGCTGAGGGAGCTGGGCTTGTTCAGCCTGGAGAAGAGAAGGCTGAGAGGGGACCTTAGAAATGCTTATAAACATTGGAAGGGCAGGTGTCAGGAGGCTGGGGCCAGACTCTTTTCAGTGGGGACCAGCAACAGGACACGGGGCAATGGGCACAAACTGAAGCACAGGAAGTTCTGTCTGAACATGAGGAAGAACTTCTTCACTCTGAGGGTGATGGAGCCCTGGCA